CATTATTGTCTTCAAGAAGCCAAGATTCGATGTCCGAAAAATCGTCAGGCAGAGGAACAGAAGAAAAAGCATAGCATTTTTCACGCGTGTAAATAACATTTTTAATTAACTTCATACTTGAAACACCCATGACAACTCCCAAAGTATGACGACCTGTTGGCGTTATAGGTTTTAGCTTAGTACCGAGGAAATAATTAAATGATATTTGTAAAAGTCAAGATAAATAATGGCTTGAAATCTGATATGTCTTCTCATTGTTTACCGAAATAAAGAGGAAATAATTAATGGCTCTGAATTCACGAAGTAATTTAAAAAAAAAAAAAAATATCCAAGCAAAATTCAAATAAAATCAACTATGAATTTCATCATTGATATCTTTTATTTTCTTGAACAATAAAAACATTTTCAAAACATATTATAGACAAAAGCTAAAGAAACACTGAGACGATTCTATTTCAAGTTTCTCTCTCCTTAAAACTATCTAAAAAGTTTCAGAAATAAAGAATAAACTCAACAGAACATAAAACAAAGAGAAAAATAATTTCGATCCGGATTTGAACGGAGCTTCAATGAACAGAAAATGTAAATTATTGCTTCAATAAAAAAAATACATTAAACGAAGGTAAAAATTCTGTCACATCCAAAAGAGGAAATGAGGGAAATTACTCAGATTGTATTTCCTTAGAATGTCATTCGCTATTTTATGAAAAGTAATATTAAAAATGCAAAATGAAAACGTAGATAGATAGATAGATAGATAGATTATGATGGATAGATGAATGAATGATGATGAATGAGATGGATAGATAGATAGATGGATAGATAGATAGATAGATAGATAGATAGATGGATAGATATGATGAATGAGATAGATAGATAGATAGATAGATGATGATAGATAGATAGATAGATGAATGGGTAGATAGATGAATGAATGATGGATAGATAGATAGATAGATAGATGGATAGATGATATGAATATGATGAAGGGATAGATAGATGGATGGATTATGATGGATAAGATAGATAGATGGATTATGATAGATAGATAGATAGATGGATAGATGGATGATGATAGATAGATGAATGGGTGAATAGATAGATAGATGGATGATAGATAGATAGATGGATGATAATGATGATAGATGAGATAGATAGATGAATGGATAGATAGATAGATAGATAGATAGATAGATAGATAGGAACATTATGGTTAAGGCGTCGGTACTGTATAATGTCTGTCCATTAGACCATTTGCTAGTCGTCTTTGTGTAGGCTCTCTTTATATAGGTTACTTTGCAAAGAGGGGAAAGAGAAACCGATTTTGCAAGTTTTTTTTTTCTTCACTCAGGGCGAAAGTTTTCCCTTCACCTCGCATTGTTTTTGTTTTATTGGTGATTTTCATTTTATTTTATATTATGCTCCTTCTTATTTTTTTTTATTGCATTTTAAATCTAAAATAATAAACTTTCTTTAAATGCAAATACCAATATCTCTTTCGAGAGATAGAAAGCATACAAAAAAATAAATCTAAATAAATAAACGTCAAATTCTGTTTAACCGTCCGTCAGCGTGTCTGAAATTCGGGCCGCAGTTGTTCTACATAGATATATAACTTTTTGGAATCAGGAGGACCACGGGAGTGAGATTTTGCCCATCATCTGATGCTTGAACATCCAGCATTTTTGGTTTGTGCCCGGAAGAGGAGAGAACTGTTGGAAATTCAAATTTTAAAATAACTGAAAAAATTAGTGATTTTAAAACGTTTTTAATTTCTATTGAGTCTAAGGTAACACAAAACATTTGTGAATTTAAACATTTTTGTTTTAAATTCAGTTTAAAATATCTCCAAAACATTGTGAATTGAGGAAATCAATTTTATTTCTTCAAAATGCCAAGAAATCAGAGTTAACGTGAGAGGTTTCGTGATGTGAGCTTTTGAAGTTCCGCAGAGTTTGCGATTTGTATAACTAAATTCAATTGAATTTCCACGGGGTTTGCGATTTGAAGATCTCAATTTTCGTCCTGAATTGGAATTTCGGTCTTTTGGTCGGAATTAGACTTATCGACGAAGTCAGAGTTAAAGTAAGGTGTTGAAGTTCCATGGAGGGAATAGAGGAATTCAAATACAATGGAGTACTTCAAAATCATCATTGCTCTTTTCTATGCTGGATCAGAGGTCCCTTTTAGTTTTGGGCAGGGGCCACAATTAGCCCTTCACAGGAGCGAGCTTAAAAGTTTGCACAGAGTGCAGCTTTCAAGATGGTAAATCAATAAAAAATAAAATGAAAAAACAAACAAAAGAATATAATATATTATTTAACCCTAGAACACTAACCATCAATTAAAGTTACACCACTACTAACCATGGGTATATCATACCCGATTTTGAAAATATCAAAAAAAATATTAAGGTTAAATTTTTATTTGAAATATTTTACATGCAGGCACTTCAACGTTTGTACTTTGAGTTAACATTAATTGGAACTGAAAAACATATTAATTAGATAAAAAAAATCAGGTACTGAAAATTGTAATTAAAAATAGGAAAATTTGCACTGGGTACTATATAACCATGGTTAGTGTTCTAGGTTTAATATTATAATATAATAACATAAATATATAAGTAAGGAAACTGATGGTAAAGACAATGTACCAAAACAATAAAAAATGAAAAAAAATACCTTTACTCCCCTATCCATAATCGTTCTATATATAGATTCCACGTAAAGAGAAGTAATCGTTCTATATATATATATAGATTCCACGTAAAGAGAAGTAATCATTCTATATATATAGAGAGATTCTACGTAAAGAGAATTAATCGTTCTATATATATATAGATTCTACGTAAAGAGAAGTAATCGTTCTATATATATAGATTCTACGTAAAGAGAAGTAGGACATTCTCTGATGAGAGTTAGACATGTGTAAATGCCTATTACCATGTAATGTTAATTTCTAATAACAAAAATGTTTATATTTATTTGCATCCTATCTCTGCTCTTCACACGGAAATATGATAGATTCCAATCAACGGCCACACACTCACTTAATGAGGGTGTTTACATATCAATATAAATACTTACATGCCAAACGAATTGAGGTAGATGCCGATTACCGTGTCGAATTACACCACACTTTGCCAGTACTTCAGGTTTCAATTAGGCAGCCACATAATCCTAAATATGCCACTGGGCCCGATATCGTAGAATTAACATTGACACCCTGTTGAGAGTCATATGGAAGCTTATGAATGCTGAATTCATCTGTTTGCTACGCATCTTCTATTTCCTGCGTAGAATGTGGATGAAATTCTAGCCGGTGTCGCTTGTATGTTACTGCAAACAGTTCTAGCCTGACGCCACTGATCGCAGTCATTAAAGTTCCGACGTTGGCGAATGCGCGGTTTGCACTGAGCCGTAATATCTTATTTCAGGATTTTTATTATACACGTGACACCACAGATTGAGTGATGTCAAACGTCCTTACAACGTCAGCCCGCCGTATCATGACCTTTTTGAATTCCAATAATTCACATCCACCGTTAAAGTATAACTGATATAATTCTGGCTATTTCCATGATGTAAAGTTGGCGTCATCTACAATTACTCTCCATGCCATCCATCAATTTTGACTCCTTAAAGTATATTTTTCGAGAGCCATATGTATGAAGGTGTTCTATGAATATGGGTTCGGTAATATTAAAGTATGTTTGGTTGAATAACCTCGACGTATTATTTCTATTTATTTTTATTGCAATCCTCTCGAATTCTCTGATCGGATTCTTAATGTTGATATTAAATTCATTAAGCAAGGCCCCATAGTTTTTTCTTTAATTTATTTTCATTTTTATTTTTTAAAATATTTTCAATTTCATCTGAGATCATCTTCACAGGTGAATTGCTACAAACCAAAAAGATTAATGTAACTGTTGTTTGTGAATTTTTGTAAACCCGCATGAACGTGCTCTGTTATATTTATTTTAAACACATATTAATCCGCACTGTTATAATTAATTTAAAATTAGCAGTTTAACCTATAACGTTTTTTTTTTAAATCGCAACTATCCCTGAAGCTAACAGCATGCCAAACCCTATCAAGCACTTTAGTGATATCTAATGCCACAGCTCGAGTTTCGCCATTATTATAAAAAGCTTGCTATACAAATTCATTTATGGCCCTGAGCGCTGGCAAAGCAGAAACTATATTGCTTGCAGAGAGTAGATCATGGGATTTAAGGTACTTCGGCGTTGATTAAAACCGCGAAGATTTTTGCCGAAGAGTGGTAAGAGACTGATAGGACAATAGATGGGTAGGACGAGTCTCCAGAGTTCTTAAAAAACAGGGACAACAGATGAGAACTTCCAACAGACTGGAAAACAAGATAAAGTGAGGTAACAGTTATATAGTTTGGAGAGAACTCGATCCACCTCAGTAGCACGTTTCTTTAGGTCTACAGCGGCTATACCATCCCCACCACTTGCTTTATTAGAGTCTAATTTAGAGATGATGGCCAATACCATCAATGGGGTTATGCTCTTCTCACTCAATAGATCCTTATTTCTAGGGGGAAAATCAAGTGTGGTTACTCCGGATGAGTCAGTTGTTAAATTGAATGAGAATTTCCGAGCAAAGGATTCAGCCTTATGAGCTGAGGTAGTTAGGATTTCAAATTGATTTAATAAAGGTGGCATTGTGGTTTTTCTTTTGTTAAGTACTCTTGCAGGGCCGTCAATAATCTTTAGAGCCAAAATTGCAAGATTCAATACGGTGTTTCATTCTATCAGCAAAAAGCAATTTTGCTTCATTGAGGACACAATTGAACTCATTAAGGGCAGAGTCAAAGAGAGCCCTGTTGCAATCAGACATCTCGCTTCGATACAGGCGGAAGAAGTGATTCCTGTGGGCTATAGCAGCTGAGTAAGCAGCTGAGAACCAAGGAGATGAGCGTGTTTTGACTATATTTTCTTACTGGAATGAAAGCCTTGATGCCAGCTTTTACCCAGGTGGAGACCTCAGACGCACATTTTTTTAAAAAGCCACATTCTAAGGGACGTTGCGGAGGACATCATGGAACGAGTCCAAGTCTGCTCGTTGATAACAGAAAGATATTCTGTTAGTAGGAGGTTCTTGGATTGGGATGCGTAAAAGGAGTTGCTACTTGGGAACTTATTGTTGGAATTTTTGGGTACACTGTACTAATGAGCCAGTCAAAATGAGCTGACTCATTTTATAGTTCACTAATAGAAGGGTTAATCAATCAGAAAGCTCAAAATATTCAATCCGGCGTGTATAAAGGCAGCCATTTTGTTCTTTCTCCAAATATCTTCACTGCCAACCTGATATCGAAGACCTAAAGAATTACTTAACAGCTGATACTTTCTCCGAATCTTCACTGCCAACCTCCGATAGTGAACACATTATGTACTTCACTGGACTCTATATTCAATGACTACGGCAAACATGGTCAACATTTATCACATCGGGGAGATCATTAAGGAAGTTATGAACAGCGCAGGTTCAAGAATAAGGGCCTGGGAAAAACCAGCATGAAATTATTTAGAAGCTTGCCCGTTCATTTGTTAGGGACGATTGGAATATGCTTAATTCGTTCCATAAGATCGTAGAGTTTGAATTTGTTTATAAGGCTAGCATGATAAACTCTGCCGAACGCCTTCCAGATATCTAGAACCACGGGCCGACTTTTACCATTCTAATCTAAAGATTGAAAGACAAATTCGGTAATGGCCGTTAACACGTCTGCGATAGATCTGGCGAAAGCGAAGCCATATTGTTTCTTCGGAACGAGGTCATGCGAAATAAGATCCTTAATCAATTCGGCATTGATTAGAGCCTCGGGTACTTTGCCGAAAAGAAGTAAGAGACTAACAGGCCGATAATTTAAAGGGTTAGAGGATTATACAGTATTCAGAAAACTAGAAACTATAGAAGATGACTTCCAACAAGTTGGAAAGCAACGTGGCATTTTTTTTAAAGACTGAAGAGAATAATTCGGGAGAAAATGTCCTTGGGGTGAGGGCAGGCATCCTGTCATGTCCGTTCGCCCTCTAAAGATCTAATTTAAAAATTATGTCACAAACCCGTAATGGTGGGGGTACGCACATATCTCTCAGTAGAGCCTCCGTTCTAGGGTGAATTCTGGCAAAGGCACTTCAGATGATTCGATTAAGAGCAGCGTTTGAAT